CAGACTTTCTTCGCCTAACTCAGCATTCAGAATAATACTGTCCATGAACTATGTTGAATTTTATTCTAATATTAACATGTGAATAAACTTAAGGCTCCCGGGGAGGCGTCTTAGCTCAGGCGGTTAGGACGTTGGCTGTACCCAAACTTACCCCCTGCTGTCATGGTTTCGAAGTCCACCGAGGCAGCTGAGGTTTTCACAGGTGGACCGAAGAAAATATAAATATCATTCAAGAACAGGAGAACTGATTGATGGCGGCACCTTGTTTATGACATACAGCAGGACTACTTTACAACGGAACCATGTTATATACAGAATGCGTACAATACTACGAGATGATTCCTGCAAATGATCGTAAACGCGACGCGTCATTCGTCACGAACACTGAATTTCTAACAGAGGCAGATAACACACCTCTCATCTCGTATCATGCGCAGTCAAATCGATGCAAAGGATGACAATAAGTCAGCAGGGTTAGTAGGCACCTCGTGGGTTACCAACACCCATCTTTCCCACGCCGCCTGCATTACAATTTCGACGTGTTGGGTGATTGTTACGGAGGGAGGGCGTGTAGTTGAGTATGCGAAATGTATACCACTGTCATCAGGCGGTTGGGATGATGTACGAGTACCATTTGGAGTCGACGTTGATCACGAAAGACGTCTTCTGACAACACAGCGTTGGATTCGCTAAATTTTTAGCCACAGTCTCCGCTCTTGCTGGCACCCGTTCACATAGGCCTTTCGAGAAGTTTGGTGATGTGCGATAGACAACCTGAAAAGCCCATTTGACGTTGACTCAGTCATTTGCCTCGACTAGATATGCAAGAATATAACTCGAAGTAGATCTGTTTTCACCTTCGCCTAGCCAGAAAGATATGTGTTCAGGCGCCAATTTTTCGCGCGCCACAGGAGCAAGCCGTACGTCGAGGCGCCTGGAAAGAGGGTACTTGAACATTTATATGTAATATATACAAGAAAACTGGAAATGATCCGGACATCTACTGTTAGTGCTTCAACAACAAACGCGAAAACAAGGTTAACGCGCACTTACAGGTGAAACGTTGGCCAATAAGTAGCGTGTGTTCACCAGGCACGTATGGAAATAAGCGACTAAGCCTATCAAGAGCGCAAAATGTCCTGGCTTGGAAGATTACCGACTGCTAGAATGACTTGGTCTCTCTCAGAACTGAGAGTTAGGCCGTAATGGCTCCTTATTCATGTGGTATTTCAGGATTCCTCACTGATGTGAAATCTGGACTGCCCTTTCACCTGAAACCTGGTTTACGCTTAGACGGGCAACTGCGCTTGCGCTCACCTCTGGTCGTTTTAGCATTTTCTTCCCATCAGAGTCTGTGGGTGAGGGAGGAGACGGTGTGGTGGATGTTGCGCAATGCTCCTGGCGACGAACTAGTTCGCTCGAATGTTCTCGGTTCTGCCCAACTCCTTGGGGCCTACGGTGGATGTTGTAGTTTACGATAGTTTAGATGTTATATAAGGGCGTCATGGAACGGCTGTTCGCGTTACGATTGCAATGTCTCGCCCTGCATGCTGGGAAAAGGCAATGTCGATGCACCCTGTCTCGCGTCAATAACATGTGATGGACTTAGTGCTTGTGAAAAGGTTTGATTTTCGAGCTTTGTTGGTAATAAAGGCAATATGGGGTTCAGAAAGCTGCACTGCACGGCACTTGGATTTAAACGACTGTGTAGAGCATCACTCTCGGACAAATGCAATCCCGGAGATGGACGCTAATTTGAAGACCGAACGCAAGAAACTGACGACGCCACCAACGTCACTGCTTTAGGAATCTTTGAATGCAAACATCGCTGGCATTATTTTTATCTAACGACAACGATGAAGAAATCTGGCGTCTCCCACGCCAAGAACGGGAACGGCGTCAGCGAATCCAAGTGCGATTGACGCTGACGAGGACGCAAAATGGCTTGTTAATTCATGCGGAGACGTAGGTACAAGGCTATACAGATCGAAGACGAGATAGAGGACGTCCCTGTCGTCAGGAGGTCAGCTTGTAGCCCTTAGCCCAGTGTACTATGCCTCTGATCAGCCCAGACGACATAACCCTACTCTCGGGGTAAATTCCAGACCGTTGGACCAATAATTTCAGGGGCGTTCCCAACCGTGATTCCGCAATCCTTAAGGAAGTCATCAACAGATGACCTCAAGGGACAGCAAATGCTGATCTCAATCGTCCGCCTCCTCAACAGGAGGCGCAAAGGCAGTAAAACCTGTCAGCGCTGTACACCTCTGGCAGACATTTACAAATACAACGGTTCTCAATTTTCGAACTAGCCTGCACTACCGCTTTGGGTGGTCTGCAGACAAGCGAAAGTGCATTAAGACATCAGGTGTGTCCAGTGCCGCATATGTCTTCAAACGAAAAAACCGTCAGGTTTGCAGCAATCTCCGCCAGATTCCCCCCCCCCCGGTTATGTTGGCACGGTATTTGTCCGCTTATTTGTCTGTCGCCCGGAGACACACCCTGTGTAGTGCACTTTCTAGAGACGTAACACAGATTCCATAAATCAGAGGTGTGATTTTCGCGATCTGATAAGTGCAATTTAACTGTTAATAAACTACTCACAGTGGCTAAACCATTTCTTTTATTTTTCAAAAACTTTGGTTGTGGTAATCCGTGTCGCACTTCGAAAAATCCTGACGAGGTTCAGATTCTCGCAAACGGTCAGGCATCTCGACAGCATGGTGGCTCGCCACAGAATATGAGTCAGCCTGCAAGATTTTACGCTGCAACTTGGCCAAACCGGGTTACATAATGTCTCCGACCCTCTTTGACTTCCTGTCCTCCGAAAACCTAGTGCTGCTTGTCTTCCGCGACTAGTGACCGGGACCTGAAACCAGTTGTTAAACCGGTGACCGACTGCTCAACGTCCAGCGCATGCCTACTGAAACGAACATGCCCAAATCTAGAGTTCACGATCTCTTGTTCGTGGACGACAAGGTGCTGAGCACTACATAGACTTTCTTGTTTAATTTCGGTCAAACTTTCAACGAACGATTAGCATGGGGAGGACAGTGATCGTGTACCAACGGGTGCCCACTAAGAAATGCGACGAACCTGTTGGAAGTGGCTGTGGAACTCGCCTTTCCTGTGAACAAACTCGCATATCTGAGGACTGTCGTCTGTGGGCACATAAAGATCGATGGCGCAATTGCACGGGGATCTCCGCTGTCAGGCAGACCATTTATAAGTTGTAGCACTTAATGTGGGATCGCCGTGGCATGAAACTGAAAATGTACTGACTTGTCGTCCTACCTACTCTCCTCTACGATGCTGAGATGTAAAGTGTGTACCCCTAGTTAGGGAAGGAAACTGAACCGGTTTTTTTTTAAGTTATTTCCGAAGGGCGCTGAAGGTAAGGGTGGCTGAAAGGAATCAAGACACGCAAACACAAAACTAAGGATGCATTGGACCGTCGTCCTACCTAAGTTCCTCAACGATAGGAGGGTGTAGGCAGTGCGCTTGGATGAGCTTTTTTCACCTAAACTGCCTCCGAAGGATACTGAAGGTCAAGTGGCAGAAAACGTGGAGGACAACGAGGTTATGGGAACAACGATTGTGCTCCGCATCCAACTTCGATAGAGCGTCCGCATTGTGGGTATGCCTAACTAGCGCTTTCTCAATTAATTAATCTACGCGACATTGCGTGTATACTTGCAAACAATACATAACTATATGACGATCAATGTACACCCGAAATCACCTTCAACCACCTTTATTTCAATACAGAGGCCTGGGAAAGCCTTGCCTAGGATCGGTAGCCCTAGCGTCCACCGATAACTTCGAGGCTAACCAAATAGATGTGGTCAGGGCAGTACAATAAGTGCACAAGACACCACAAACCAACATCTGACGCCATGCCAATAATATTGCACTCTCAACTAACGTTCTGGGCTCCGACTGACCTCATTGGGCACCTACGGATTCACGGTAATATCCGCATGACTAAACCACCGCCCATACTGCACAGCATCCAGACCAGCACTACTTCAGGCAGCCATCTAACTTTCCCCACTCGAGCACCACGTTCAGATCCCCATACACTACAATCGCTTAGTTTTACGTTCAGCCCAATAAAAGAAAAACAGATGATAACCACCACAAGTATAAACGCTATTCCAGTATGCCTCCATTGCAACAGCACATTTAAATCACGTACCAGTCTGGTCAGCCACCTACTGATCATTTGCGGTGGCATTGGAGAACCAGAACCAAGAGCTTTAACTGGAACCTTTTATTCCCAACTAACCTAATCACTAAGACAGCGCGATTCATGAGTCCCTTACTTTAAATCCGTCTTCAAGCGCACTCAGCCAGTTCACTGACCCCGTCAGTCATATGCCCATAGTCATCATCTGTCAGGAAATCATCACTAATCGCTTATGCAACAACCATGCGATCTGATCTATCAATAACTTTTCGGCGGGCGAAAGATTACGTGGGATCATGTGCGCCTGTTACTTATAGTAGATGTGCTAACTCATGAAATGTTAACCGAAACTCTAAAATGCGTGTTGACTCAAAAAGATTACTCCAGTAGGGTTGCGCTATGACCCGCCGGATACTTGAAATGCCGTGGAGCGTATACGCACTCGACCCTTGTCCCCAATATCACAGCAGCAGACAAATGAAATACGACCGGTCACGGAAAGCGTATTAAAAACACATTGCAAGTCGCGACTACATGAAAGGTGAAGCGTATTTATAACACACTGCTGTGGTTCGCCGGCATTCGGCCCAATGACCTTCGGGAAGAGAAAATAGCCAATGGAGAGGTGCCCGATTAAGATGACAGCGCTGTAGAGAGAGCGAACGCACGTGGTCTCCAGTGATTGGCTGGCTCTTGTTTGTGGGAGTGCAAGTACTCCCAGCACCTTCCCTCCAAGAAGATCAGTACCGCTTTTGGCGTGGATCGGTCTGCATCGGCAGTGTTGGTCGGTGCACGCGGTTTCTCCGGCGTCTTAGTCGTGGTTTTTGTCTGGAGACGCGGGGGCAGTGACTGATACCGAAGGCGGTGCAGCAGTGGCTTCGGGAACCGATTGATCTGCTGGAATGGCGAAGGTATCCAGTAGGATGTCCAGAGAGAGTGGCGGCACCGATTCGAGCCCGACTGTGTTACTGAAATGTCGCCGTCGGATCTGGTTGTGGTGACGAACCCAGATGTCATCACCAACGTCGACATCAAACAACATACCGTCTCTGTGCGCTACTCTGGTTGCCTCAATCCAGTCTGGGAACTCAGTTCGATAATCACGAACGAAGACAGGTCTTCCGACGGAAAGCTTGCTGCGAGAGACTGGAGAAGTCTGCGCGGGCTGCACACCGGTAGCAACGAGTGCATGAAAAGTTGTACGCAGTTTTCGGCCCATAAAAGTTTCGGCGGGTAAAACGCCACCAGGGGATGCCGGGTTCGGTGTTGTCCTGTAGGAAAACAGGAACGCCTGGACTATCTCGTCCGTGGTCCCCTCTCCACGAGCTTTCAAGAGGGCTCTCTTAAACTTGTCGACAATACGCTCCGCCTGACCGTTAGACTGAGGATGGTAGGGCGGGGAGCGAAGATGCTGGATGTTGGGCTGCCGGCAGAAAACCTCAAACGTCGACGAAGTAAACTGAGAGCCATTATCTGAAACCAGGACTTCCGCTAAGCCATGTTGGCTAAAGATGCGTCGCAGGAAGGCGATAGTGGCAGATGCGGTCGCTGGATTCAGCCGAGCGATCTCGGGCCAATTTTAGTAGACGTCAACCAAGATTAGGTAGAATCCGTTAAGTGGGCCAGCGAAGTCGATATGCACGCGTTGCCAAGGTCTCACCGGTGGTTGCCAGCGTATTGGCGGTTGACGAGGCGGCATCTTGGCAGCTTGCTGACATCGAGAACATCGTCGGACCAAGTCGTCGATATCGCCGTCGATACCCCGCCAGTAGGCAAAACTGCGAGCAGTAGACTTCATTCGGCTGGCACCGGGATGAGCCGCATGGAACTGGCGTAGTACAGTGAATCGGTGGGAAGATAGGATCAACACACGGTTTGCAAACATGAGGCAAGAGTTAACCACAGCGATGCTTGGCGAAGGAAGAGCTGGCGAAGATCGCCAGCGAGAGCAGTGGTTGGCCAGCAGGTTTGCACGTAGGCAATGGCCTGACGGAGCACAGGATCCTGTTCAGTAGCACGACGGATGTCCGCGGCAGTGACAGGGATGCCTCGCCTGGCGTCTGATAGTTGACGGCGCACATCGTCCTCAGTCGGAATTGCGGCAGTCGCGGTATCTTCCTCAGGTTCCTGATGATTGATGATGAGGCGAGAAAGGGCGTCAGCCTGACCAAACTCTGTAGTGTGACAGTAGCGAATGTCGAAATCGTAGACAAGAAGGGTGGTTGCCCATCGCTGAAGTCGGCCGGCTGAGTAGACGAGAACGCCCTTCTTCGAACCTAAGATTGACAGCAATGGTTTGCAATCCGTCAACAACGTGAAGTGGCGACCGAACAGTAGCTTGTGAAACTTCTTGACGCAACCACGATGGCTAGAGCCTCTTTCTCAATTTGCCCGTAGTTCTTCTCCACAGGGGTTAGCGTGCGAGATGCATGCATGATCGCCTTTTCAGACCCATTAGGAAAAATATGTGAGTTGACGGCACGACCTCCGTGGTTGGAAGCATCTGTAGCAACAACGATCGGCAGCGTCGGGTCTTAATGCGTGAGCAGCAGATCTGAACTCAGCATCGACTTTATCTGGGCGAAGGCCCTTTTAAAATCAGAGGACCAGCACCAGGGAGGGCCCGTACGTCATGCAGCGATGGTAGGAAGGCGCTATAGTAGCTGATCAGGCCAAGGAACGAAGTTGCGATACATTCTTGGGTGCAGGCATCCGTTAGATGACCCGAATGTTTTCAGAATCTGGATGGCGACCGGTGACGTCAAAAACGAATCCGCGGTACTTGATGGAGTCGAAGAAGAATTGGCACTTGCCGGACAGCAGGCGGAAGCCATATTCCTGCACACGTTCGAGCACTGCGCACACTCGGTCTTGCAGCTCGGCAGGGAGCAAACCACGATGATAATGTCGTCCAGGTATCCAGCTGTGCAGGGATGCTGGAGAACATTGCGTTCATCGTTTGTTGGAATAGGGCCGGGGCGGTCTTGACACCAAAGAACAGCCTGGTATATTGGAACAGACCGCTGTGGATGTTGCTAGTCAACAATTTGCGCGACTCTGGGGCAACCTCGATCTGCAAATACGCAGCAGCGAGCTCCAAGCGAGCAGCGAGCAAGATTATCCGCAACCGACAGTGGATAGCAGTTCGGCGTCAGCGCGACATTGAGACCGTAGGAGAAGTCAGCACAGATGCGGATCGAACCATTGGGCTTCGTAACCACAATGACTGGAGCGGCCCAGGAGGAGTGGGATACAGGAACCAGAACTCCCAGTCCCTCCAGACGCCCAGTTCAGCCTCGACAAGTGATAGGGCTGCATATGGAACTGGTTGCTTTGGACGGAAGACTAGTTGACTTCCAGGAGAAGGATGTAGCACGGTTTGAGTGTAAGTGCAACGACCTAAGCAGTCTTAGAACGCTGGAGCAAACCGTTAGAGAATGTCCTTGGCTTGGTCTGCAAGCAAAGCAGGAATCTGCACCTGATAGCAAACAACACGGAGCGGCATATCGGCCAAACCGAGTTGTTCAATCCCGTCGAGACCAAGTAGGTTGACAGCAGACTTCGTGATGTAGCAGATCGCAGTGATGCTGGTACAGCGGAACGAGATTCAGCATTTCAGTTGCCCAATTAGCTGTACGAGACCACCGCACGCGCTTGTGGCGGACTTGGAAGTCTGCTGTATCATGGAGGTGCCGGACTGGCGTTTGGGCTTGTGTTTTGATCGAAAACGGTGCCTGGAACTAAAAGTGGCGGGGGCTAGCTTGCTTACAGAAACTGGTATTGATTTGCCGAATCCATCATTATGTCTCATCTGATTATAACTTTGGCAACGATGCTGGCAGAAAGTGCAGTCCCCCTGGAAATGCCACGCGTCACAGTGCCGAGAAGGAGATGGCAGAGATCTCGCCTTGGACACTTGCTTGGGCCGCGTAACGGGATGCGATTTGGTCGATGCGACCTTATCGACTGAGCAATATGTGGCAGGGTTCTGAATCATGGCGGAGTCGTACTTGAGGTTCGTCAGCGTTTGGCACTCTTCTGCCAGCTCATGGAGTGTGACTGAGTTTTTTTGCTGCCTTCGGACAGGAGACGTGTCCGGATATCAGCATCCTTGGAGGACTGAAGGCCGCAGATAAAGATAAGGCATTTAACCTGGTCCTCAATAAGAGAACCGAGTGAAAAACGCCCACACTCACGATTAACAATGCCCGCATACGTGATGAAATCATCGGAATCTCGTTTGCACACTTGCAAGCACTGAAATCGACTATTGAAAAGGGATGATTGCTCACCAAAAATCTGCGACAACGTCTGAACCGTGTCCTTGAAAGTGACTTCTCAGGGACTCTTGGGGAGGATGAAGCTGGCATAACGCTCGTGTTCAGCCGGACCCAGTTTGCGAAGTAGAAGTCGAACCTTCTATGCATCGTCCTGGACAGCCAGATCGACAGAGAACAAGTCCTCGTATCGTTTGTACCAGGAATCGAGGGTGATATGGGCCTGTGGGTCATACAAGACTTCAGCGATGCTGCCGGCGATGTGATCAACAGATTGCGAACCACCAGCCACGTTTGATTGACCCCTGGACGAGTTGGACAGCTTAACGGTGAGTGTTTTCATCAGTTTCACCTTCTGCTGCAACATCTGCTTCAAGGCGGCGTAGTTGAAAAACTGCGTCGCCAATTTGTTATGATCTGCCTGGTACTTGAAATCCACTGGAGCGTATACGCACTCGGCCCTTGTCCTCAACACCAAGGCAGCAGACAAATAAAACATGGCCGGTCACGGAAAGTGTATTAGAAACACATTGCATGTCGCGACTACCTGAAAGGTGACGCGTATTTATAACACCCTACTGTGGTTCGCCGGAATTCGGCCCAATGACCTTCGGGAAGAGGGAATAGCCAATGAAGAGGTGCCCGATTAAGATGACAGCGCTGTAGAGAGAGCAAACGCACGTGGTCTCCAGTGATTGGCTGGCTCTTGTTTTTGGGAGTATATGCACTTTCAACGGGTTGTAATATTAATGACCATGCAGCATAATCTCACGATAATTCAGCTACTTCAGGATGCCGACTTTCGAAAGAACTTCATTCCCGTCGCTGCAAAAACTTCACTCTAAACGTGGTTACTTGAATAGCATTAAAGTTTCTCATTGATTTTCGATGCTGTTATAAATTTAAATATATTTTATAGAAAACATGCGCAAAAACATTCATTCTTTTACTTATGTCGTAAATAAGCGTTTTTCTTAAATTGAGTGACAGGCGATGATTTTCGCGTCGTGTCAAACAGCGCGTAATCGGACCTGCATCGGCATAAAAAACGGAGTTTTTATAGACAACTTGAGCAATTAAAACCATCGCAATACAATAGCACTTGTAACTTCAAACCTTTCCAGTTCATGCATGAATCGGTCCACTGCAGAGTCGAAAGCCAGACCGCAATGGCTCATACTTAGCGTGACCTTTATTGCACCCGAGGCTTCGTTATCAATTCAATCCTATGGACTGACTGAGCGCTTGGGTTGGGCGTGTGTCACGCGTCGATAAGTGAACGACTTCTGTTGCGCCGTTTCACCGACTTCTGTTTTCGGCCAACCGAATTTTTAATTGTCATCACGACGGGTTGGGCGTGGTGGGAGGGGAGTTAGACAGATGCATTCTCAGTTGTCTGCCTGAGTCGCTCAGCATGCTCTAAAAGTATTTCTGGGTCACCTTGAGGTTGAAGCAGGTAAACATTGTTTACGACGACCCAAAGGGAGCACTGCAGAGCCCTTCTTGTCCAAAAAAGATGCTTATCCTTTTCAATGCGCGATTGACCTTTCAAAGTCATCATGTTGTCCGTCGGCGAAAGTGCGGCAGACATTCGACCGGTGGAAGACAAGTAGGGCAGAGTATTGGACAGCCAAGTATTTGGATGAACCCTAGATCAATGTGATGCAATGTCTGAAACTGTACGAAGCAGTGGGTAACTATCAGCGGATTCTGAGTGGCGGTCCTGGCCAAACAGCTAGAATCATTGAGATGCCGGCATTGTAATTTCTTCGTATGCTCTTCCGTTTTGCAAGGGAAACCTGGACTGCAGACTGTTATCCATATTATGGGAAGGATTTTCAACAAATACGGTTTAAAATCAATACTGTCACCCAGAGCGTCATGTATGAATGCGAACCAGAAATAACCTTGCTTGAGTTGGTCTATGTGGTGTCGTGTATGAACTTAGTTTAGAGGTCAAAGCGTGTACCTTTCGCTGATTGTTCCCAGAACACTTAAATAACAGGCGCCTTCCTAGCTCAGGTTTGCCCTTAGGAATGCCCAAGCTATGTTTAAACGACAACAAGCACCGTTTTATCGACAGCATTAAACTACATGTTTGAACTTTGATTCTGCGGTCGATTAATGAGTCAGGTTTGTTGGCGTGGGAAGAGATTACCCATAGTTGCCCCAGTATTTTTAATTAGATTAAGGAATGAACATGTGCTTACGTAGTACGACGCAGTAGTCCGACAGAATTTCGCATACATGTGATAGCGACGGCCCACTTGACATACTCCATTGTATTTTCGGAGGGACTTCCTGGGAATTTGTACGTTTGTCCAATTTAGTCTGACGCAATGAAAAACAGTTAAAAGAATCCCCTTGTATATTTCTCTATATGGCAATATCTTTCAAAAATTGACTTTCGTAGACACATCTGTGGATCTAAGGCCAGTGCTTCCATACTGGCCATGGAAACCGCGAGGATTATGTCGGATAGGGAGTAATCCTCCAGGTCTAGCTTTGAGTGCATGTGTACGAACGTACGCCGGTTGTTTTCCAACTGTCCAGATTCCCCTCGGAAACACTCTGAGGTGTGCTTGCTCTGACCTAAACAGAAAATTCTACTTGCGCTGATAATAAAGTGGAAGACGATTGTAAGTCTTCTAAAATTTTACGCACATAGCTCTTTGAGTGGTATAACGCAAGCCCACTGAGCCACTGAGAGAAAAGCGACCAAAGGGTCAAGTACTTATCCTAACCGCACGGGTGATCCCTCGAAGAGCCCAAAGTGTTGGCGAAGTGCGAATGTCAAGTTTATTCCAGACCAAGAGCTGAAACAGCTGCCAAAAATGTGAAATCATCTAACAAAAATGTATTAAAAGTGCGGTAAGATGGACAACATCAAACACACAATTTCTAGCCTGACACTGTTGTCCTAACATAAATATAGTTCCTTGAACATGTAAAGGACACCGAGGTTATTCTTGGTGACTTTGAGGTAATTTAAATGACTCAAAGTGAATGTTACATCGATTATAAGGACAGTGTCTGTACTGCTGACTAGCCTTTTTCCGTATGAAATTGCCGTTTAGGGAATATGAAATATTACACGGGATGATCGGAATAATTGTAACCTCGTGTAACTCTGTCATTCGATCCTCGTGGGTAGCAGAGAGGTTTGGACGACGCACTACTTTTGTAGGCGAGGAAAGTTTGTTGTGGCAAAAAATATTATGTTCCCTTGGGATTCCATTATATCACGTTTAGTCTGGGAGTCAAACACTGCTAGCGACGCAAAAATACCTTTCCACTCGGACTGGCTCAGCTGGTTCTTGGTGCGCAACCCAATAGAAGGGTTTCGATCGTCATAGGACTCCCTATGGTATTCCAGTCCAAATGACTTGGCCTTCTACTTACAAAAAACGCGAGCGGCCTTTTCGGTCTCATTTCTCATGCATTTGTTGCATGCATAAACCGCTGTGTTCTCACTTGGGAATGCAGTCCTTTTTCTCGACCCGAAGTTTGCGTAGGCGAGGAGCCAAACGTATGCATGAGTGATTTTTACAAATTGAATACCGCACTCCAGCATGGTTTATACTCCGACTTGAGTTTATTTAACTTCCATCCCTACACCCTTCGTTTAGGATTGCTTACTGAGTTCGTAACGAATAATCCTTGACGTTGTTCGGCAATTTTGGCGACTTGGGTTTCTGTTTTTTTGTCTCAGGCGAAACGTTTATTGACTCCCGCTGATCTGCGGTAAGTGCCGGCTCTTTAGTTGAAAGACAAACCTCCGTCTTGTGGGCCACTGTGCAACATGTGTTATGGAGTGCTCACTGCCCTCCCCCCACACAAATGCACACACACACACACACACACACACACACAACAGTTCGACCGTAGTGCCCGGCGATGTCTACCGTGTGCTCCAGAGCAGGGTGAGAGCATGCACGATGACTTGTACGGGAGTTACTTTGTAGTGGTAGTAGACTTGCACAGCCTCTCCCGCACTCCCTTATTCTTCCCTACCTAGACCCGGTGTCAAAACAGTGAAGGTGGGAGATGATATAGGTGGATAGCGCGGCCGGACCCGCACCTAGGCGTGCAACTCCACGCCCCTTGGTCTTTAACTGCTTGTGGGGCCGTGGCATTTTCAGACTCGGATCACCTATGTAGCTGATGAATCCCGCACACAGTGTGCGCCAAGTCTTTTAACAAGGGTGGAAATGTTGGATATGCTTTCAAGCTGATAAAACTACTTGGATGAGTTTAGTAAACTCTCCATTATGGAATGTTGTTCAAATCTATTCATACACGGCGGCATCCGGACTTTCATTAAAGTATCTGCCTAGATCCTATACATATTACTCTAGGAAGATACCACTGTTTTGTTTTTGATTAATATTTTGCCATTAAATCTATATGCGCGTATTGTATTTCGTAGGCATTTGTTTCAAGCCATTCATGTTGACATTAATATTGCAGGAGATTTAGGCTTTTTACAGTTTATTTTCCGAAGGATGTTAGTAGTATGGCTTTTTAAGTTGTGATAATAATATTTATGTTAAGTCTGGATGATTCTTCCCATGGCTTTTTTAAGGCTCGCTAATGTTACTTCGAAGTATACCTCCGCACTAACTTATGCACTCGGGGCCTCTTCATAGGCGCATGAAGAACTATGAGTTTGTTTTTCGTAAAATGCGTGCCAAGTAGTTAAGGAAAAAGAATAAAAAGTGCAAACCCTGGTCTCTTTTATGTGCCTGCATATACCACTAATAGCTGTGCCACTAACTTCAAAGGCTCCTGATTGAGCTCCGACGCACAACGCGGCGAGCACGTCCGGAAACCTGATCGAAGGGCGCGTCTCGACCATATAACACATAAACACGCTTAGGAAGATGAAAGTATTTGAGAAAATGCAGCTTTTTTGTGTACATTTTTGATGTTGGTCCCGAAGCTCATCCTCAGACTTTGGGCCGAATTACTATAAATAATATTCCCGATCACAACCGACAGGACAGCAGACCGTGGCTCAATGATAATGTCACACTAATTAACCAAAGACCTTGGGTTCGGGTCTCAGGTGATCCCCACTTTGGGTTTGGTACAACTGGCCGATGACAGCTAAATTGCCGAAAGCGTCGGGAAGAGGCTAATAAAACAACCACTCTGTCCGGTGCGATGGTCTCTCCTAAACGCCACTTGGTCAGTTGAGCAGAAAAATTTTCTACTGAACGCACCTAGCTGGAGAGGGCAGCACTGCCAACCCGCTTGCCTGCGGAAAATAATTCTTGTTTTTTGAGTGTCCCCTTGCAACCGACTGGATGATGAGCCGATGGCCCAGTGGTTATTGTATTAGACTTCTGACCAACAGGTGGCAGGATAGAGCCCCAGAGGTTACACACATTTGGTTTAAGTACAGCTGAGTGACGACGACTAATAAGCCAAAAACGGCCGCTCCCTTCGCCCTGGTCTTTGTTGGTTATGCTATTGTGCCTATATATATATATATAT